AGTGATACAGTTTTGTTCAATTTATTTTTTTCTAACTATAACTACAGAATGAATTTAAGTATTATTTTATCCGAAAAATTTACACCCCATTTCTTTTTTACAAAAAAAAGGAACACAATTGTATTCAATGAAGTTCATTAGTTTACTTATTGTAAATTTATCACAAAATACCTTATGTCATTAATATAAATAAACTTTAACAATATACACATTATCAGTTGTACCCTACCTATCACCTTAACTAAACACAGATTCTTTTTGTCTTTCATAAAGATTAAAAAAGAAAAAAAAAATTTATATTCACTGACAGTACAGTTCGTGACTTTATTACAAATTTTTTTTTAACAAAAAAAAAAAAAAGAAATATTCCCATGTGTTTAATATGTCAATAGGGCAAATATATCTACTCTAATTCTACATTTTCCTCACTGTTTTTTTTCTTTTTTTTCTTTCATTCTCCCTCTCGCCATTCCCCTCTCTCTCTCGTTCTCTTTTCTTTATTGTTATTCTAATTTAATTGAATTTTTAAATGGTATACAATAAGAGATATTTCATTCCTATCAATATCTTTTACCATTTTTTTCTCATTATTTAAGTGATTTGTTAACTAAGTGGAAAACTTTTCCCAAAAAATGTGTGAAATTATGGTGTTTTTTTTAAAACAATAACTAAACCAGAGACAGAGAGGGAGGTAGGGAGGGATGGACGGATGGATGGAGAGGGAGCAAAAAAATAACGCAACTGTCTATCATATTTTCACTTGATTGTATTATGTTCTATATATAAATATATATAGTTTGACAATTTTTCTTAATAAATCAAAACACCATCAGATATTTTTTTCTATGGTTCTGACAGTTTTTTTATAGTATCCTATTACTAAGAATGTTTCTGTTAATAACTGGAAAATTTGATTGATAGACTTGTAAGAGGAATGATGATGATGATGATGATGATATATAAGTGAGATCTTTCAAATGTTCCATTCATGTTAATCCAAATTAACTTTATTACCGGTAGTGATTTCAACTTAATATTTAAAATATTTAAATGGTTTGTACTTTATTTAGGGTAAAAGTTAGAGAGGGTAAACTAAAGGTTAACTGATGTTAATTATCCATTATATATATGAAATGTAAACCTTTATATTCTTGATTATAGAAATTTGCGCCGATGATGTTGCTCGTAAAAACAATGAAGAATTCACAATTAAGCCAATTAATTTATCAGTAGAGGTTTTGTAGAGATTTTAGTAATTTCAATAGTTGAAATCATGAGTCAATTGAAGATAGACCACCATGGAAAACCTGAAAGCACTGGACGGTCGTTTAGTCCCAGTCTGGGACCCCTCAGCAGTGCGAATCCACGATCCCGCTCAACCTCTAGACCATTGAGCTGTGATGCAGTGCTTTCAGGTTTTCCATGGTGATCTAGTTTCCACCGACTCATGATCTCAACTATTAAAAGCTAGACAATAACACCGTTAAATACCGGCAAGATCAGTGGTCTAATGGTTAGGCGCTCGCGCGCGAGATTGATAGGTCCTGGGTTGTAATCTAGCAGGGGGCGGGATCGTGGATGCATACTGCTGAGGAGTCCCAGGCTAGGACGAAAAGGCCGTTCAGTTCTTCCAGGTTTTCTATGATGGTCTAGCCCCAATTAATTTAGTGAATAAAACTTCACCAAAAACATCTACCTGAGCTAAAAATCTTCCCCATATATATAATTTTACACCCGTTAAACAGATTGATGGATAACTGTATTTTGTAGCTCGATAAGTCCTGAATTGACTTCTGAAACTATAGCTATTCTGTTCGGATCTCAGCGGAAATATCAACGTCGGAGTTCATTTATATCTAGCTGACGAGTCCTACACAGAAAGAATCACTTATCTTGGATTCGATTTTTAAGTACAATCCGATTTTACTGAATTTTGTGATCAAATGGAAATATTGAAACATTCTTTTCAGCAATGTAAATATACTTGTAGAGAGGTTGATCATTTAGTCTTCAACATCAACAATAGAAAATATAAACCCTTGAAACAGACAAACGCTTTATTTTTATGTTAACCTCAAACGTATCCATTCACAACCCAGGATATGATCAGACCTTGATGAACGTAACATTATTCTCTATCCAGTGATTAGTGGATGTCAATAGTGGCCTAAATAGTACAGTGGTAACGTCTTATATTGTGTTACACTAGTTCGAACCTCAAACGAACTACCAGTTTCAGATAGATTTCAAGTAATGTTTTCTGAGAAGTACCAAGGATGAAACCTGGGTCGATGAAAGCAACTATCTAACACCAAAATGATATTTGAATATTTCAATGTAGTTTTCATTAGGAACAGATGTCAGTTGAAACAGAAATTCATCAGTAGCATTAAATAGTGATTATTTTCTTCCACGTAGTGATTACAATTGAAAATATGAACTATCGGTTTACAATTCTATGGTTTCATTGAATCAAGAAACCAATGAGAATTATCAGTTCGACATTGTATAGAATAGTGGATAAGAACGAAATAACTAACTAATTTTCCATTATTGAAAACTTGGAAGCAATGGACGACCATTTCGTCCTAGTATAGGACCATGAATCGGTTGAAGTTAGACATTAACACCGTTAGATGCCGACTCAAAAGTCCAGAGGTTAAGCGTTCTCATATGAGACCGAAGATCCCAGGTTCGAATCCCACATATGGGATGGTGGATTCACACTGGTGAATTATTCCATACTAGGACGAAACAACCATCCACTGCTTCCAGGTTTTCAATGGTCGTTCAGCTTAGATCGACTCATAAATTCTACGATTAAAATTACTACGATTGCCACAAATCCACATTCTGATAAATTTTCATTAGTTGATGATAAACATTGTTCTTAATCACAAGAATTCTATCACATCTCATAAAACTATTGATTCATTATCATTTCGTTTACCTTACTTTATATTCTAATCTTATTAATTAACCCTTTTTCTTTTCCTTATCTTTAAAAATGATGGTTAATCTGTCGAATATAATTAACATTTCCAAAAGTTGAAATGATAAGATGTATTTTAATGAAAATGAGAAAAAAAAAACCAAATTCTAAACAGAACAACAATCAAACATACAAACAACATAACTTTCACTGATAGATATTGGTAAGTATGTATTTATGTGTTAAGCATATATATACTGGGATAGTAAATAGAATTACGTTGGATCAGTACACTATTTGGATATGAAAAGGATTGATTAGTATGTAATTGAATTCCTAGGATGAAATGAGTTCATTATTATTATTATTATTATTATTATTATTATTATTATTACCGTTATAGTTACTACTTATGGCTTTTATTCCCTTTTTATTCAGTAAGTTTGTGTATATTCTCTCGGTTTGTGCATATATCATCATTAGTGATGATATAATACAAAAAAAGAATGTTGAAGAAATAAATGAGATTTGACATTTTATTTATAAAGTATTATTATTAACATTTTTTGAGTGACATATGCTTTAACAAAAGTTGATATATCAAAAAAGTATTTGAAGATATACTACTTAATTGAACTCAACTATCATGAAAAGTATGTATGACTGTGATGTGTGTTACTTATGTCGATAGACATAAGTAGTATATAATGTTAATCAGAAATGGAATACTTGGCAGTAGAATTTTGAAAAGTTTGATTACAAAAGAGTGAGAGCAGAAAGTGATTGATATAGAAATAAAGGAATAATAAAGGCTGAGACGACTAACATTTTGCAAATGAATTATTTACAGTATGGTTCTCATATTTTACTAAGGGATTCTATAGTTTAGTTTACTAGAAACCTTAAGCCTAGATCTTGTGTTTGTTGATTTCCATCAGTTTGAAGTAACTAAGATATTGTGGGAAACTCATATTCCTTGTGGGATTCAACTAGAAAAACATGAGGTTGTTCATTCTTCAGTATTCGATCAATATAAATATAACGGTTTTCGAGAAGCTCGGTGATGTCTCGAATGATTCAAAGGTAACATCTTCGACTGTGGTGCTGGGTGGCGTTTTTTCTAATTACATAGTGAGGATCAGTCTCTTTAAGATTACAGATACTCTTTGTTAAAAGGCACCAGCTATCACGAAACATGTATCCAGGATTTATGTGTACTACGTCAGATCCTCTAATATTAAAATATAATATATACGACCTCAAGTCACTTGGACTAATGACCACACTGCAAATTGATAGACAGAATTTAAATCAACATCAAAGGATTAAACAAACATAATATTGGTTGGAACGTTTTTGTTGATATCAGTCTAATTTTTAGTTGGTTTACGTTTCAGATTAATATCATCTGAGAGAATTATTAAAAGCTAGGGAGAATTGAATAGCCATTTCATCCTATCATGAGACTAGTCAACATTAAGAACAACATAACTATACTTGGGATTAAACCCAAGACATTTAAGTCTCACCGTGAGTATATTGAAACTCCGACCGAAAACAAGCCATGACGACATAACAACTAAAATGCAAATTTATTATTTTTCGAAATAATAACCATATATTATTTCAGATATTCAAATATATTATGAACTAACTTGCCAATAAAAGCATTTGATTGGATTATTACTAAAACTCTTTTTATCAATAACTGATTTTTTTCCATGGATTTTATCATTGGGCAATTGTCTCGCCTTAGTATGGAACTCTTCAGAAGCGGATATGGACGATTCTACCAGGGGTTAAGATCGGGTCTCGTACTGAACATCTGACATAGCATCACTACTTTGGGTTTGTGAACAATCACATTGAGTCACATTAATCAAATCTTGCCTACACATTCATAAATATTTTATCAGTTATAACATTAATATGTATCGGGTTTCATAGGTTTTTCTGCCTTATCAGTTGTTGATGTGTTGTACGGAATAATTTGTCATTAGTTAAAGGTAATCGATTATAACTAAAAATTACCTTTTACAACAACCACAAAACAAATATATATACTCACCTATCTAAAATGACAGGATCTGATGGTGTTTCATTTCGATTACCACAACTTTTTCTTTCACAACATCGGCTACACATCACTTCATGTGTAAGTAGGACTCGACACATTTCTGGATTTTTATCTTGTCCTTCATAGGCAATAGGCTTTAAGAAAATAAAAATCCATTAAAAAAAAACACAAAATGACTAAGAAAGAATAAAATGCCATAGATGTATTGAATGTCACAAAAATTTGTTGTCTGTGAAATGTTTAACCGATTTATGCTTGGCACTGAAACTCCGAATTTGTCAATATAAGCAGCCAGAATAAAGATTGGTAATATAGATTCAATTGATTTATTTACAGTCAGATTTGTATAAATTGAATTGAATAGTATTTAACATTTATTAAACAGAAAGGGGTTTTTGTGGGCATTCTAGTAATATAATAGTTGAATTCATGAGTCGATTAAAGCTAAACCACCTTGGAAAATCTGGAAGCACTGGACGACCGTTTCACCCTAGTATAGGACTTCTCAGTAGTGCGCATCCACTGTCCCACCCCCTGAGAGATTCGAACCCAGGACCTACCAGTCTCGAGCACGAACACTTAACCTCTACACCACTGAGCTTGCCGGCATCCAGTGGTGTCAATATCTAACTTCAACCAATCCACGACATTCCACCACCGTCCACCATTGTCTTCAATGAGTTACTATCTCACAACAAACTCGGTTGAACTCCACTGGTAATGGCTTCTCACTAGAACTCCAGAAAATGCTTTCTAAAGTCAGTCACTAGTGAGCATATGATGACTATAATCAAAAAGGGGTTTTCGTGGATATTATAGAAAATCATTAAGCAACCAATTACTATGAGGACACATGTTTACAATATCATACGATTCGACATTTATAACTAATAAATATAACTAATTTATTAAATTATATAATTACTCCTTCCCACATAGTGATTACATGTCACAGATGATTGAGAAAAATCAATTTCATTTGTCATTCACGCTTCAATCGATTTAGCTATTGCACGCTATATCAATACATATCAAATGAATTTCGATCCTAGTAAATTATAGTAAAGCCGTTAATTAACCTTATTGGTATCAGTCTAAGCAAGTTATATTGAAATGATGTAACAGATTAACCAGTGTTCTGTAGTAAGTTTGTTACATATATATGATTTAACCTTTAAATCGACTATATGTTTTTATTATCTGTTATTATCTATTAATCAAATTTGTATGATTTATGACAGAACTTTGAAGATAGAATAAGCTATGAAGAAGTTCATTGAAGGATAGAGAACACAGAAAAATCGTCTGGTTCCACTAGTCTCTAAGAATTTCAAATTATATGAACTGAAGATCTTAGATGCAAATGAACTTTAAAAAAATTAACTGTTTAAAAACATATTTTCATGTTACCAACCAAAGAATCATTAGATATCATACCGTCCTAAATTTCAGTCTAGTGGTCTATTTCAATCATGTTTACTGAAAGTTCTGAAGATTCTCTTTACTAGAGCTCACATAATTCTATATATGAGCATCACTAATTAGTGCCAAACTATAATCAAGTGTATCTAGGGTTCCTCCTGGTTTTCACGGATATCGATTCATGGGGACGATTATCTTCAATAATAAAAAGATCTAAATAAAATCAAACACTCATTTTTATTTTTTACATAGATTGGTCATTGAATGGTGATCAGTATTACGTTTGTTTAATCATTTAGTGCTAAATCGAATTCTATCTATTAAGTTATAATTTGTTCTACACTAGTCTAAAATGACTCGGCATCGAATGTATAATGCCTTGATATCAAGTGGTTGAAGATAATCGACAGGAACTCCTGTCAATTATTTGTCAATATTTCAGTCCTACAGAAATCCAGTCACAACTCAAATAGTTCTGCTTCTTGACGATATAATATTACTTTTTATATCAAGTACAACATGAAGATAAACTCGATAATGAATCATTGAGAACGATGAAATAGTAACAGATAATATACAAACTATGAGTTTTTTTGTCTTTCATCAAAGTATGAATAAAGTATTCATATTATACACACTTTAGAAATGTATTAAACTATTTGTGGGGGGAGGACGAATTTCACGATAAAAATAAGTCGGAATTAAACATTTAAAACTTTTTTTAGTTAAATGTTGAAAATTCTGATGTTATAACGACACTTGTTAACTGATACAATGAAGTGAATAAGTTATATGACTTTAACTATTAATTTACTTCGATGAATAACTAGCAGTAGTAGTAGTGTGGTATACGCTACTTATATTGATGGATATATGTAGTATGTATCACTAATCGAAGGTGAAATGCCGGTCGGCAAAAGGTTGAGAAGATCAAATAAAAAAGGATGAGAGCAGAGAGTAATTAGTATGAGAATAAAAGAACAATAAAGTTTGCGACAATCGATTGACATTTTGCAAATGAATTCTTTAATGTATAGTTCTCAGATTTTACTAAAAGATTCTGTGATTTTGTATTCGAATACATGTGGTTGTCCCATTGGTTTTCTCATTCACGACAGTTATAACAGTAGTAGTGTAAGTAGTAGTAGTAGTAGTAGTAGTAGTAGTAGTAGTAGTAGTAGTAGTAGTAGTAGTAGTCATAATCACAATTGATTGATCACTGGATGGTGACCAATGTCATACGTGTCTAGTCCTTATTATTAGTGCAGATCGAATGCTATCGACCATGTTGCAATGTGGCCACCAGTCTAGGTGACTCGACACTGAGGGCACTATTGTGAGATTAGATGGGTGACAGGGGATCGAATCCGCCAGGGAGCACCAGTTCCCTCAAAGATTACAGATACACCTTGCTGACGAGTGCCAAGTAGCACGAAACCCGGGTCCAGGGTTTCCTGTCGACAACCTCCAACCACCATCTAGTAGTCATTTTCAATTACTGCTGTTCATTAGATAAAAAAATGTTCAATCATTCTAACTGATAACCGGTTGTTACTCAATAAGTAATAGAAAAAAATTAATAATGAAGGTCATTTCTCATTTATTTATTTAACTTACTTGTTTTGTAGATGAATCCACCAATCGAATATATAAATCTTGATCTTGTTGAACACCTGAAATAAAAATTCATTTTAAAGAAAATTTATTCAAAATGGTATCAGAAGGAGTTTTGTGGAGATTGTAGTGCTCCCAGGTTTTCTATGCTGGTCTAGCTTCAATTGACTCATGATTTCAACTGTTGAAATTATTCAGAATGATTACTTGATTAAGTAGCTTGGTATCATGGTAAAATTCATTTGGTAAACGATACGAAGTTGATATCCTTTCATTCAGTTTAATAAATTTACTGTAAACTAGGTCGATGAAATTTAGTTAATATTAAGAACAAGATAATTTAATACTTATCACTAGCCAGTAGCTGTTCAATGTCAACATCTCAATGACATAGAAGTCTGGTGCTATTTGACTGTGTCATCAGAAGAAGTTGATTCTTGTCTTCAATAGAGAACCGATACTTTCATTACTGGAGTTACTACTCACTGATGTATCTCAACTAACACAAAACATAGATCCAAGGCTTCCTGCTGATGACCTTCTATGATAATGTATTGTTTATCAATCATTTCTGTAAATATTACGTGATTTCTTTGTAATAATCAATAATTAATTTTATCTGATTGTACGTTCCGCATAAATAATTGGATAAATTAGTTGACGAATACGAAGGTTTATTGATCAGTAAATATGAGATATTGGTTACTTCAGACTGTTTAGACAATGTTAGGAGAACGAAGGAATCGAATTCCAAATTAATGGGTTAATATCAATCATAATCAGTGATACACCTGAAGCATATAGTTTTGCTTTTCACAATGATGAGAGTGAGTAGTAGAGTAAAAATTGTAGATAAAAATAGTGTAGTTTACAAATTTTTCCAGTTGATATTGTCAAAATACTCATAATAAGTTCAGTTCAGTCCAGTTCAGGTAAACTTCAGTATTCGATATTAATTAAAGAGATAAGTATCGTTACGGAATATTTGTGAACATAATTGAATTTCATAGTTCACAAACGTATTTTAGTGAGATAATCACCGAAAAACCAGAAGGCATTGTTTAGCTTTTTCGTCTCAGTACTGGATGCCTCAACAGTGTGCATCCATGACCCAGGACTTTCAGGTCTCGTGAAAATAACTCGATACCGTCTCAGTCGCTTAAGAGTTAAGCCCTTGCCGTGAAGCCTGAAGGTCTTGGGTTCGTGTCCAGTCGAGATCGTGCGTGTGCACAGTTGAAATGTTCAATACTTTGACTAAACTACTCTCCTAGTTCATTTAGATTTTCATTGGCTGTCTTTCTAGGATCAACCCGTGATATAATTATTAAAGAGACAAGATTAATGTGGTTTGTGAATTATCCACTACTCTCTGGTTTCAAATAATTTTATAGCTTATGTCCTTCTTAAATGAAAGCTTTCAGTAAGGATCAGATACGATCAATAAACAAGCTAAGCTAGACAATTATCGTTCTCGACAACATTATCACCACTTACTTCATGTAGAAGTGAGCTTTTTAATAATTCCACATGTGCTAAACGCTCTTGTTCTGTTAGTAATCAATCATAAACAAGAACATCAGATCAATTGGATTAAATGCTTACGGAACAATGAAAAAGCTCATTGCCACATGAATTAAACAGTGATGATATTGTTCACAACGAAAATGAAAGCTGCACAAATAAACTATCTTGTTCAGAGAGCTCAACAATATCAAAATTAATATCAGAAGGGGTTTTTGTGAATATTATAGTAATTTCAATAGTTGAGATCATGAGCCAATCGGTCTAGTGGTTAAGCGCTGGCACACTTGACTGATAGGTCCTGGGTACGAATTTCATGGGGTGGGATCGTGGGTGTGCTTTGCTGAGGAGTCCCACAATAGGACTAGACAGACGTATAGTGCTTCCAAGTTTTCCATGATGGTCTAGCTTCAATTGGCTTATGATCTAAACTATTGAAAATACCAAAATTATCAGTATAGGGATTTATAGAGATTACTGAATGATATTAATATCACAAGCCGACCTAAGTTAAACATCCATTAGAAATTAAGAAGCACTGGAAGGGTGTTCCATCCTAGTATAGGACTCTTTACAGTAATGCACCTCCGCGACCTTAGTGACTTATGAACATGGGAACTTCGGTCTCACGAATGGAAGCTTAGCCTCCAGATTACTACGTCAAGTCATAAATGAGTTCCATACTTAGATAAACTAGTTTTCTAGTGCTTACTGATTTTCAGTACATATCTATCGGTTCGTGATATTAATAACACTAAGATTATAAATTTATCTTAAACGCCTTTCTATTGAAGTTAATTTTTTTTTTAATTAGCCTACTTATCATTCATTTACATAAGGTAGTCTCAAAAATTATTCTCAAAAGACAGAGAAATATAAATTTCCTCATAGATTTTAGCTTTTTTTTTTTTTCAAGTATTTTCTCCTTTGTTTCATTATTGTCAAAATCACTTTCATATTATTCACTTTAATGAGGCACGTGTAATACTTGTCGGTATCTCTGAGTTTATTATTTTTTAAATGAAGTCATATCATTAAAGTAATAACCATAGAGAGAGAAAGAGTGAGTGAGCGAGTGAGTGAGTGAGTGGGAAGTGATGGGGGGGTAGTACAGAGTAATCAATAATACTTATCTGGTTATTACAAAGAATGAGTTAATCATTTATTATCTTTACTTTAAAAAAAAGGAATAACAAATCGAACGAAAGAGAGAAAAAAAGTACGATAAACAAATTCACCACTCCCACTTATTGACATTTTTGACATGATAAACACATGTCTTTAATTGTTTACGTAAAGAATAATTGGCAAGATCAAATTGTTTTCATAACTGATGTGATATGAGTATAAATAAATGGTAGACCATTTATTTATCAATTTATACCTATTCATAATAAAAGCTATAACACGTGCCTAATGCTACTATATAGATATATATAATGATTATTAAGTGGAATTCTTACTGTAACAATGTCTTCTCCTTAATGTATGTGTGGCATTATTTAACCTTTTAAAGAAAGTGATTATGAATATTGAGTTGATTATAGAATAGAATTATTCATTTACATATGAGTTATTATAGAATATCTAAAGAATTCTTTTATAGAAATGATTATCCTACAATACATTGATCATATCTGTGGAAGATATATCATGTTTACTTTCATGACTATATACTTTGATTTGGCTGGGTGGATTAGATGATCAACTGTTACCTAGTAGGCAGCTAGTTTAAGATTCACTTCATCTACTTCGTTTTAAGCAATCCAAAAGTAATATAAACTAGTAATTTGTAAATGTTATATTATATCATTTTATTACACTATAATATGACTTGTTGCTATGACTAAAAACAGTTATGAGACATTGTTCATAAAAGTACTTTAGGAATATATTTATTTCATAAAAATACTTGCATAGATCTATGTTATCATTAGAAACTGATAGAGATCAAACTTTGTATCATTGTTACTATTTATTTACAATTTAGTTGGGTGTATTTTTGAAGATTTTTCTATATTTAAGCTTACAAAGTAATTGAAATTGGAGTGATGAACCAATGATACATAACTCTGTAGTTGAAATATATTGTACTTGTAAAAGATCCTCAGTCCAACCCCATAAATAGTCGTACGCTAAAAATGAATCGATTATTTAATCTTATTTAATTTTCAGTGACATCTCAATTGACTTGAGTCCATGATTTGAGTCGATAAAAAACTTAGGATATCGATTTTAGGTATCTTAACATTTTACTGTAGCCTCATATAGTACTAATATCTTTAAACAGTAAACTGGATCAATTATATGAAGTGAATAATTAACTCTGTATTTTTAATAGTTGAATTCATCGGTCGATGTAAGCTAAACTACCATTGAAAACCTGGAAATGCTAGAGGGCCGTTTGGTCTGTGTTGGATAGAGACAGGTATCTATCCCAGACAATAAATGAATGACTGCGCAAGATCATGGATCGATTGAAGTTAGATATTAACACCGTTGAATTTTATCCAGTTTAGTGGTTTCGAGGTTAAGTGTTCATCCATGAGACCAAAGGTCCTGGGTTCGAGTCGTTTCGGTGTGGGATCGTGCATTAGCACTGGTGAGGAGCCACATACTAGAACGAAACAGCCATTCACCACTTCCAGGTTTTCAATGGTGGTTTAGCTTTAATCGACTCATGAATTCAACTAGTAGAATTACTACAATCTTCACAAACTCCCATTCTAATCATAACTCTATTGTTAATCAACGTATATATATAGATTACAAATTAATGAGTTACTCACTAACTTTTAATGTGTAAGTTAAAAATAAAGTCTAAGCATTCAATAATGATCATTTTTACATAACAAAATATAATCTATCTTTTAAGAACTTCAAACATACCATTAGCAAATAGTAAACGTATTCGATAATGAATTCCATTGTTGGTTTTTTCACCCTCCGGTTCCTATAATAATTAAGGAAAGAGGTTGGTTAATAAACGATAGTAAAATCAAGTTACTTATTATTGTTCTCTAGCATTATTGCTCAACTAATGGTAAGTGAATGATCTACATCAATAATATATAATAGTCAATGTTATTGAATATACTGACCAATAATTTAATGATCAATTATTTTATCTTCTGTTACTTATTTATTATTGGGTATCATATTACTAATTCATAGTAATGAGTAGTTATCATTTGGTAGAATATTAAATGATTCAAGCGAATGATTGTTTAAAGTTCCTTATCATATTAAAAGACTAATATTTGAATGAAGAATATTCCTTTCAATAAATTCTGTTCAGTTTCTACAATTATATATTTAAATTAATAATCCGAAAAATGGTCAGTTTAAGGGGAAACTGCATCGTCTAAAGTTAATGAATGTAAATTTAGGATTGTCAAGTAAAATAGGACAAAGTGGAGCGTGTCCTGGATTCCACTGCTAGCTACTATCCATTCAAGCGTAGAATGCTTGTAAATTAAGGCAATACTCACAGTATGCGCATATGCCAATAAGAGACTGATCAATTGCAGTTCTAAACAAATTGTTCATGTTGATATGACTCATATAGAATGTTAACATGGATCAGCTTATATGTTAAATTGAAATTTTATGATCCATGATCAGAATAAATATGGATCAGATAGGGTGAGAGTAATAATAATGCTATTACAATTCGATCAAATGTTTAATGGAAGACAATATAGTGTGAAATATTAGTAAGACGTAGTAAGGTGAGATGAATGTAAAGTAAATGAATCATGTATTGTGGAGATTAATAATAGTGTTTAACGAATAGTAATAATAATAATACAAAGATTTGTGTATAAAGATAACAGAGACTATGAAAGCTCGTAAGTACGATAGTCAAATTAGGCCATTCAATAGCTAAGATTACTATTGATTAATTGGACTTAAGGTTGGTGAGGGTAGAAGAAGTGGTTGGAGATATTCCGGTTACTTCATCTGGATGGCTACTGCTTCAACCGTTTGAAGGACTTTAAGTTTGACAAGCTTTTGCGAAAAATTACTGACCCGATAAACAATTGAAAAGGATTGGTCATACGTTATTTACAACTAAATGCTTAGTCAAATGAATCTGTTTCTAATCATTTGTGAAAATTAATTCGTTATTAAAGGAAATTACCATGAAAATAACCATGAACAAATAAAGGAATAATTGCTGAGACTATAATTTTTGGACGACTTTTGAGCAACCCTAAATTGACCTTGAAAATGTCCATCTACTAACTAGGACTAAATGAGAAATAATAAGCAATGTAAGGAATTAGAATTATGATTTGCAATAGATGGTCAAAGTTAGGAATTAGATTTATGGTCTTCATCACGAACTGACATCAGCTTTAATGCCCAAATATTATTTATCCAAATGAATTTCGCGCTAAAATCTGAGACCTGTTATCTTAAATGTGATTCGTTCGTTTATTAATTATAGTCTTGCTGTTTTAACAAAATTTCTTATTCGATTTGATGTAGATCAAAAGCCTATACTCTTAAATAATATTCCTAGATCATTCACTAGTAAACATTCAAAGTAAATAAGTAAATGGAAGTTCGCATTGATCACTAATGTTATGACCGTAGTAAGCTGGAACTTGGAATAGAGGAAAGCTAGGATTTAAGTATCTCAGGAAAGAAGAAATTGATTGCAGATGTTAATTTCATCCAACTAATCCCACATGAAGGATAGTAGATTCGCACTGGCAAGTAGTCCTATACTAGGACGAAACGGTCGTCCAGTGCTTCCAAGTTTTCTATAGTGATCTAGCTGTGATTGACTCATGAATTCAACTGTTAAAATACTACAATATTCATAAATCCTAATTCTAATTTGCTACTTAGTCAACTAATATCATGTAACTGAAATAGTGAAAATACAGAAATATGTTTTCCACAGAATCGGTACTAAATAAATGTCACATGTTATACTGAACGATAATGAAACTAAATTAATACAAAAAATATTGGTATTAGAAGCGGTTTTGTAGATATTATAGTAATTTTAATAGTTGAGATCATGAGTCAATTGAAGTTAGACCACCACTGAAAACTTGGAAGCACTGGACGACCGTTTCGTCCTATTGTGCTTATCGTGGATGCGCTTTCCTGAGGAGTCTCACAATAGGACGAATAGGCCGTTCAGTACTTCCAAGTTTTCCATGGTGACCTAGCTTCAATTGACTCATGATCTCAACTATTAAAAAAACTATATATTATACTGAACAAAATATCACACTGAGTAAAAACGTGATCTAACATTTCCATCCCATTCTATCAGTTAATATTACTCTTCTATCATAATTCATATCATTCAATGAGTTGTATTCAAGTTTCTATAATATTAAACAAATCATTCAATTGATAAACTAGAACTTCATCAAAATTCATCTACCTAAGCTACAAATCTTCTCCATTATCTTAAACAAACATCTCACCACCTTAGATCTTTCATCAACACCTAGAAATTCTATTGAGAAATCAGTTATGTAGCCTTTGGAATTGTTTGTTTTATTTTTAATAAAATAACCTATTTTTTCAAAATTAATTTAATGCAAATCAGTTTTCTTCTCTCTCTCTCTCTTTCACACACACACACTGTCTCCGTCTCTGTCTCTCTCTTTAAATTGCGTGTTAAGTTGATTAAAATGTATTCTCTTATCCTGCTGTGATTTAAATTTGTGCTAGTTAAATTGATTATTTCGAAAATCTATTATATCAATTGAATAGTTTCATGATGATAAAGATGAAAGAAGTTTGATTTTATTCAATTCAATATTAAGATAAATTGATTGATTGAAATTAATTAAACCTATACATCGTTGAGTGATCTAGAGGTTAAGTATTTACATGTGAAAATGACGGTACTAAATGTCATCTCTCAATGAGATCATGGATAGGTACTAATGTGGTTTGGTTTACGTATATCCACATGAGTAGTATATAACGGTGGTCAGGTATAGAATTTCAGTAGAAGATCGTTAAGGAAAGGACGGAAACGGAATGCGATTGGTATGAAAATTCATGATTAATGAAATCTGAGACAATGAACTGAAATTTACAAAAGGAACAGTTAAGTTTGAGATGATGGATTAATATTTTGCAAATTAACTATATACTATATGGTTCACAGATTTTAGTGAGATGCTTTGAAATTTCGTGTCAAATACATTCGATTGCTCCCACTTGTGTTCTTGTTCACTATACTAGCTCTAAGAAGTTCCATACTAGAATAAAACAAGTATTCGGTACTTCTTACTTTCTAATAGATGTTTAACTTAAATTAGTTCATGATTTCAATTAAAAAGTAGTCAACAATTCACTTACTTTATCCTTTTCTACAAAATCAATAAATGCAGCACGTTCCACTTCAATTGGATGTCTATTTTGATCATATAAAGCAATAATAAAATGAAAAAAATTGCTTTTACGTAAATTATTCGGTGGTTGTTTCTCGAAACGAGCCCATGCTACTTCCATTCGTGGTGTACAATGTGTATATCTATATGGATGAAAATGAGAACATTTCGATAACAAAAAAAAAAAAGGAAAAGACTATATTGAATATATTCATAATCATTGTTACTTAAGATCAGTAGTTTATGAGATGGTAAAGCAAATCTATATTCGAAGTGATTTTTCTTTTAATGGTGTCATGTTTATCTTATAAGACATTATATAACAAAAGCAAATAGTTTACTTTGTAAAATTCAGTAATTAAACATTGACTGATTACAAAATGACTGTTGATTGAAAATAAGTACGAAAATTGATATATATCCAATGTAGGGGTTAGTGGAGATAATAGAATTTTCATAGATTTTAAATTATAAACTGATCATACTTAGACTCCTATTGAAAATCATGGAAGTATAGGACTTTCGTTACATCTTGTTACATGATTTTTTAGAACTGAGCATACATAATCTGAGAACTGGGAATTGAACAAAAGACTTTCGGCTTCAAGTGAAGATGCTTAACATTTAGACCATTGAGTAGTGTTAATACCCAACTTCAATCATAAAATTGTGACTGGTGAAAATCAGTTAACTTGGAGGTAAAAAGAGTACTTTCAACAGTATTGGATGATCGTCGAGCTGCATTGTGAGTTGAGAGAAATTGTAGTTATACACCGTATACTAAACTAGTGGTACTGATGTTTAAGTATTCTCTATGAAACCTTATAAGTTTGTGAGTGTTTCATACTATGATGCAACAGCTATTCAGTATTCATCAGTATTCAGTGGTACTGCAAATGGGATCAGTATGTAATGAATAAAACCTAAAAATTAAATGAATCTCTCAACTATTGCATATTTCAATAGTTGAAATCATGAGTCAATTGAAGCTAGACCACCATGGAAATCCTGGAAGCATTGGATGGCCGTTTCGTCCTAGTATGGGACTCCTCCTCTTCTGATATTGTATACTTGTCATATGAGTTGAAATAATTACTAAAAGAGAGCCATTCAACTATAATTTTGTATAATACTTTAAACATTCATCATAACACAAACTTATTTCTTTGACTTGAAATCAAAATTTTCACTAATCCTACAGAATATGTTAAGCTGGGACATTTCCTATTTTTGGAAATGGAAAAAACTTGGATAAATCTTATTAAGGATAATCAAAGTACTGATTATTATTATTATTATTATTATTACTCATTTATTATAAAGGTGACGATAATCACAGACTGATTTCAACTTGTGACAGGTCATTCAAAAACCAGTTGACATTAGATTGCTTTATTATCTAAGTTTGATTACTTCATACCCTAACAGAGTAACAAAAACTTAAATTTTTCACATATTCTTCTTCCTCTGATGATGATAATAATAATGATGTTAATTAAACCACTGATTCAATACTTAACAAATATGTAAAACTGGAATATATTCTGAGGAGGGTGGGGATATATATACTCATATATATAGTTTTGATCACAATAATTTTAATCCTCAATTTCGAAAAAAAAATAGTAGAGAGAAAGAGAGAATGGAATAAATGATAGGTTATCTATGTTCCCCACCACCACCACCAAAAAAGACTTGGTGATAATAATTACTTTACGGAGAGAAAAGGAAAAAGAAACGGTGTATGATAGTTACCGGTATCAATTTCATTCTTATTTTGTACACTATATGATTAATTCACTGAGAGAGAGAGGGAGAATGAAATTTTTTTAAAATATACGTATTTATCTTAAAACATTGAAATTACCCCACCACTGGAAACAAGTTCATATTCACAGTATCTTTTACAGATGACGTAATCATTTGAAGTTTAATTACATTTTCCAATTTCTCTTTTGATTATATACCGAAAAGTAAACCCACATAGTCACTTATACACATTTTTTAACAACAAAAAAACGTTAGTTGAAATAAAATAATCTTAATAATAGTTAGACAGGTGAAGTGAATAAAATCATATTGGTGTTAAAAAAAAGGAGAAAAAAACTCCATCCCGGAAGTGTTCACCTCTATAATTACATAATAAATAATGACTAGCTTAAAGATCTAAAAAAAGAAGATTTTCCATCTTTCATATTATCACGTAGAAACTGTATAAATTATACTTGGTGTCGTTTTATTTGAATCTTCCCATGGATGTTTAGGACTGAAATTGATCAGTCTCATGTTGGCATGTGAGCATCCTGTGCGGACTGCCTCGATATAGCCTTAAGTCACAAGCTTTTCAAGCAAAGATGGATAGTGGCTAGTAGTAGAATCCAGAACGCGCGTTTCGTTCCACTTGGAACTCGTCAGTCGGATGTACCTACATCGCAGAGTTGATGTTCACTTCGGGACTCAAACCCAGTATCGTTCGCGCGTCCTGTATTCCACTGCTAGCCACTATCGATCTTTGCTTATAATACTTGTGATTTAAGGCAATATCGCGGCAACCTACACAGGACGTACATATGCCAACAATAGACTGATTTATTGTAGCCTTAAACATCAATTGGAAGATTCAAGTAAACAATACCATGAGAATTCACAATTCATACATTTTTCTCATATAATTTCAAACTCATTATTATTGAATGAGTTCCTGATAGATACTGAAATGAATTCATCATTTGGATTGTAATGATATGAATTGTAAGTAGTGAATTATCTCAGTCATTCGAACACTGAACTTAAAGCTAATTTAATGTTTAGCAGTTCGATATAAACAACCAAGTAGTATTTCCATCCCTGGCGTTCACATACACACACAACTTATGACCCAAAATTAATTATGTGGACATGTTGTTTTTTGGTTGCCTAGTTTCATGTAGATTACTTGTTCAGCTCGTTGACAATCGTGAAATTCTTTAAAAGAAATAAACATTCTAATAAATACAATGAAATAATGAGAACTGTTTTCTTTTAGATAGAAAGGCATATATAATCATACAACAAACTTTACCTTGTAGGATTTACTAACTGATTCGATGATAATCCTCTATTATTGAACGGAACATGACTATTGATCATTGAACCAGTGGTATTATCAAATAAACATCCAACAACAGAATTGTTATTATGATTATTATTACTTCCATTTATTGCACCAACCATTTGATTACTCATTTGAGTTAAATGATGTACTGCAGCAACTGCAGAATATGCAGAAACCATTGAACCATTACGAGTACCATTATTTGTACTATTATTAGTATTACTATTATTATTAGTTGTATTGTGATTACCCAGGGAATTAGGTGATATAGATGAAATATGATTAAAATTATTATTATTATTATTTTGTGATTGTGAATTCATAAGACAACCATGCGATTGATTAGGTGTATTAATTAAAAAATTAGACTGGTCCGATGGTGAATTAGAACATTCTGGTGAATTTTGATGAGGATTAGAATGATGAAGATGATTAACATTATTCTGCCGATTTTGTTGTTGTTGTTGAGCTATCCATGAACGTACTAAACCAAATTGATTAGTTGGATCTGTTGACATATCTAACATTTCATAATTATCACGTTTCAATTCTGAATGTTGTTGATGTTGATGATGATGTGGTTGCTGCTGCTGCTGTTGTTGTTGTTGTAACATACTCACACAATTAGTTGTAGATAAATGTGTATTAGATTGTGTAAAATAATTTGATGTATTAAATAAATTTGATGAATTTGATGTTAATTGATTTGGTATAGTATATTGTGAATGTTGTTGAATAAATGAAGAAAAATTAGAATTTGTTAAATTTCTATCAACCATATTTAAATTTGTACATAATTCATTAGGATCCCGTGATAATGTCGAAGAGGTAATTGTTCCTAATTGAGTAAATAATTGTGGTGTAATTGATTGATCTAGTGAATTATTATTATTATTATTTGCTTGGATGGTTACATCATGTCCATGTAATGATGCTGCTGCTGCTGCTGATGAAGATGATAATAAATCAATATTTGTGGATAAGTTAGATAAACTCATTGTTGTAGCCATTGAATACTGATAATTAATTATTGCATTATATTCTATTAATAATAATAATTACTTTCAATTGCCTGTAATAAAGTGTATGATAAAATAAGTATAAGCGGTAAACAAACAGTTTTATTATGAGATTTGTGAATAGTTCAATTGAATTCAAAGGTGAGTTACGTGATTGATCATGATAAATGAAAAAAAAACGGGTATCATTGAAAAGCTTTCATGACTAATAATGTGGTCTTACTAGTTTGTACCTACGACATCACTATGGAATAAACTTGAGATTTTTAAGTTTTACAACAAGAACCAAATTTGTGATCTGAAATCTTTTTCACATTGAACTAGAATAAAACAACAGAGAGACCATAATTTGTGGACGAATCAATCAGGTATAAGATAATAGGTCTTGGATTTCGGCCCTAAATTCACTCATCTGCTTGGCTGAATAGAGTTTTGGAATGATAGCTGATGTCAAGTCGTGATGAAAACCCTGAACCTAATTCCTAACCTTAACCATCAACTGCGAATCATAATTCTAATTCCTTACAATGGTTTATAACTGTCATTTGGTTCTAGTCATTAGGTAAACAATCTCAAGGTCGGTTTAGGGTTGCTCAAAGGTCGTCCATAAATTATAGTCTCAACGAAACAACTGTTATCCAGTACTGTCTAGCTTTCCATATTGATTCTTTAGATGATATCAGTCTTTTTTTAGGTCAACTGCCCTCAGATCCGTTGAATGCCAGCTCAGTGGTCTAGAGGTAAAGCGTTCGCGTGTGAGGTTGAAAATCCTGGGTTCGAATAGTTTCGGTGTGGGATTATGAATTCGCACTGGTAAGGATTCTCATGCTATGACAGAACGGCTGTCCAATGCCTCTAAGTTTTCAATGGTGATCTAGCTTAGATCAACTCATAAATTAAACTATTACAATATATTTTAAATATAATTTTATCTCTAACCTATCGTAAATGTATATGACGAAGTAAACAGGAATATCTGGAGATTTATTTGAACATTTGACGCTATTAAAACGACTGAACAATTCGAATCATAACTTAAAAATAAAAAAGACTATCAAATTTTTAGCATTTGATTGAGATTATGAACCGATTGATGCTAGATCACCCTTGAAAACCTGGAAGCACTGGACGGTCATTACGTCTTATTTTGGGACTCCCTAGCAGTGCGCATTCATGATTCTAACCCAGGGCCCTCGATCTCACGTGCGAACGCATAACATCTAGACCACTGAGCTGTCCGGCATTCAACTGTATTAATGTTTAACTTGAACCAATGCATAAAATTGCGCGATCATCTTCCATTGTAGTGAGGTAGATACCTGTCTCTACCTAACACGGATTAGCTCTACTTTACTTCAATGGCACACATTTTCATAAACTTAATTGGGGGATCATATATAACACAGTGATTAACTAGCTTGATCGCTGGGTTAATGTCTCACTCAAAATTTGTCTGAATTCGATTTATCCCGTGATAAATATTACATATAAATTAAGCTAATCTTCACTTCATAAATAGAAGCATTGTCAAAATGTTTAATTTTTATATATTCGTTTATTATTCATGAAAATTCCTCCAATGAGAGAGAACGAAAGGAAGAATATAAGAGACAATTACACTGAAGATAATATCGAATAAATAATTCTTCTTATCATATTTCGAACGTCAAGACAGTTCTACTATACGGAGCTGAAACTTGGAGAACTAATACAACCATCATCAAGAAGGTACAAGTATTTATAAATGGTTGTCTACGCAAGATACTCAACATCCATTAGTCGGATACCATTAGCAACAGCCTTTTGTGGGAGAGAACCAACCAGCTTCCAGCTGAAGAGGAAATTAGGAAAAGACGATGGAAATGGATAAGACATGCATTGAGGAAATCATCAAACTTCATCACGAGGCAAGCCCTAACTTGGAATCCTGAAGGGAAGCGGAAAAGAGGAAGGTCAAAGAACACATTGCGTTGGGAATTGGGAGCAGATATGAAAAAGATGAATAACAACTGGAAAGAGCTGGAAAGGATTGCCCAGGATAGGGTTGGATGGAGAGTGCTGGTGGATGGTGTATTCTCCTTCATGAGGAGTAACAGACGTAAGTAAATAAGTAAAGTTGTCTTTTTTGAAAGTGATAGATTTCATAGAAATTTTTTTTATAATTGAAGACAATATCTATTCTCTTTAAATGAAAATGATTTTATTTGACGATTATTTTTTTAAATTTATCAGTGATACTCATCAAAGATTTATTTTGTTCAATGGACTTATTTAAAGTAAGAGAGTACTAGACAACCAAATGCCTTGATACGGCCGAGTGTGGGGAGAGTCCTCTCTCCCTCTCGAAATGCTCTCACATGAACACGTGATAACAGAAACTGTCAGGGAAGTCCTAATCATTACCTTCTCGTAACGGGGGTATTGTTTACGAAATTCAGAGAATGAAAAGCGAATATCCGGCGCTTTAACCAGGTCAGTGGACACGGAGAATCCACTTAGGGAAGTTGGAAAACCCTAATTTCAAACAAATGGTGATATGGGCTCCAGTATCCTGAAGAAACAAATGGGGTATGAACCAACTGTTGGTCATCAGCTATGATGGAACTGCATCTCTTGACGTTGCTCTACTGCTTTGCGGATCAGACCTTTATGTCAAAGGCTCCAAGTGTGGCCCACTAAGAGAACCACGTGCTTAGGTTTGAGTATTCTGGCAGTATCACAGCCCTCACACATATCAATGATAATTACAGCTGGCCTCATTGTTATTGTGTGACGCATATATACTAACTGCCATCTTGAACCAATGTTTATGTGTTCAAGTAAACAGATAAATAAATCTAGTATGAAACTCTTCTGTAGTGTTCAATAACAACTTACACTAGGGATCAAATACATAAACATCAGATCAAACATAGAAATTCGTTTTAATATATTTTCTAAATTAAATGTCATTGTGAAGGAATGTTTATCATAGACATTTTGCTGTTGGATCAATTATATATTTTGTTTAAGAGAATAAATTTTATTCAAAAAAGAGACTGACAATTCAGTAAATTCATTGTCGTTCAACAACTACTCCCTATACAAAGATAAGTTTTGTAATCTATCAATTATTTTTAACTAAAACCTGAATATTACCAAATATTTGTTATGATCCTTGTGAATACTGGAGAAGATAAAGTCGATGACAACAATAGAAAACTACCCATGTAATGAACAAGAACACAGTTGGAACAATCAATCCATATTAACATGAAAATTACAGAGTTCTTTGTAAAAAAAAAATCATACGTTCGATAATTCATTTGTAAATCTTCCATCAACTGTCTCAAACTTCATTGTTGTTTTATTACCATAACAATTACTCTATGTTCCTGTCCTCTTCAATTTTCTCAACTTTCTACTGTCAAACATTTCACTTCTGATTGATTTTTATATACTACTCATGTCTACATAAGTAGTATACACCATAATTGATTTATAAATACTCTATTACTTTAATCGAGTTGTTAGTCTATAAAATATTAAACTTAAGGAATTTACCTGAACTAATTTCATTGTCAAATTGTACATATATATTGTTAAGTTCTAACTTCAATGAAGTCTATGCTTTACGTTTTAATGGTTTATCTAGATTTAAAGTGTCAAGAGATCTTTTTTTTCTTTTTACATCAAGTATCCAACTTGTTAACAACCTAAAAATGTTCCCGAAATAATCAATATTTTCAATTGCCAAATATGTCACAAAAAATCACTGATTTCACTTCGAAATGATTCTTCTTTATATACTGTTGATGTTTTTTTTACATATATTGACTGAAATAAATTTATTACTTAATAGAAAACAGTTTAAATTCACTTGGTACTGTTTTCTTGAATTTCCCCATTAATGTTTAGAACTGCAATTGATCAGTCGCTTATTGGTATATGTTCATCCTGTATGGATTGCCTCGATATTACCTTAATTCACAAGCATTCTAAGCTTGGATGGATAGTGGCTATCGGTAGAATCTGAGACATGCGTTTCGTTTCATCTGCAAGTCGTTAACTGAATTCACTTGCATCTCAAAGTTGGTGTACACTACTGGACTACGATCCAGTAATGTTCACTTCAAATGTCATCACGTTATTCACTTAGCTACCGAGTTCAGATAGCCATTAGCTTGTGTAATGGGGTGAAGTTCAAATTCACTTAGAATTGTAGCAAATGACTATCAAGATTCAGTAGCTAAGCGGATAACATGATAGCATTTGAAGCGAATGGTAATGGGTTCGAGTCTCGGAGTAAATATCAACTTTGAGATACAAGTACATCTAGTTGACAAGTCTCAAATAGGATGAAACACGTATTCTGGATTCCACTACTAGCCACTATTTATCTTTGCTTAAAAATCAGTTTAGTTATTTTAAAAGTATTCGAAAAGTGAATTATTGAGTGATTAGTTACTGTATTTTCTTTTCTTTCATGAAATGTTTCTTTACTAACTATTATTTCAATTATCTAAATGTGATAATATGTAATATGAACTAGTTGTCAAATGATTGTAATAATAAAAAGAAACATTAAGTTGATTGATGAGAAAAAGAAAACATTGATATGTAATTACATGCTATCATTTTTAATTTTGAGTTATGGAGATTGTTGATTATCATTGAAATGATGAACTGATCAATATTAGTCCATTATTGAAAACCTGAAAGCACTGGATGGCCATTACATCCTAGTATGAGATTCCTCAACAGTGCACATTCATTCGTACATATGAGATTGTGGATGTGAACTATTAAAGAATTCCATATTCAAACAAAAAACGACCATCCATTGCTTTCAAATTTTCAATAATGGACTAATATTGATCATTAAATGCTATAAATTGATGATTAGTCTACTAGAGATTTTTATATATTTTAGTAATTATCTTTATATATATATTCATCAGTGTATTAAATTTATAGTTGTACTTGATCTAGGACATATATAAAAATGTCTT